GCCCGAGTGCCGCTGGCTGCCGCGGGAGGAAGTTCCAGAAATAGAAAACTTGCTTGAAGGGGGAGAAGGGCAGACAGGGTCACACCTGAACGCGCCTCCGAGCGGCCAGGGCTCAGCGGGGTCGGTGGGCGCGGGGCTCAGCTCCGCAGTCCCGGCCGCCCACATGGATGGGGGAATCGAACCCGTTAATCGAAACTTCTCTAGTATTTAGTTGCAAGCTGCAGGGAGGCCCATTTTATTTGTTTCGAAGTTTGCTATTCCTACCAGCCAACTGGGTTTGAGAACCAGAAGTGAGCTGGAATACACCATCGCATGTCCCAGGTTGTATTCTGCAAAAAAGGAAAACTGCTGTTCCAGGGAGCAGGAGGGAGTAGCCTCATCCCTTTGAATCGAAACTTCTCTAGTATTTAGTTGCAAGCTGCAGGGAGGCCCATTTTATTTGTTTCGAAGTTTGCTATTCCTACCAGCCAACTGGGTTTGAGAACCAGAAGTGAGCTGGAATACACCATCGCATGTCCCAGGTTGTATTCTGCAAAAAAGGAAAACTGCTGTTCCAGGGAGCAGGAGGGAGTAGCCTCATCCCTTTGCTGCATTTACCCTTACTTCGTCTGCTTGTCTATCCTTAGCTTGTGCTACTACTTTTAGATTTCAGTCACCAAGGAACTTATATTGAGGTTGGTGATAAACTGATTTATCTTTGTTTAAATCCCGCTTTCCATGCTGGTTTGCACTGAGCCAGTTCAACAAGCAAATAATACTTGTTTGCAACTTGATCTTGCCAGGCTCTCTTCTAGCTCTGCAAATATTCTAAATTTTAAACATAATGTGGGTTGATTGTGAATACTGGATAGGACTTCAAGTGAGTGCTTGTGCTTAAAAAGGAGCAGAGAAGAATATCTAATTGTTTTTGCACCTCCTACTTCAGTGCTGACAGACTGTTCTGAGTGATTCTCGCTCTCTATCCAGAGCTGAAGTTTTGGGTGCTTAATTCTGTGCTGGGAAAATGCAGTTGTTGCATCTGTGATTACCTGCAAGGTGCTGAAGCCTGTTTTGCTGTTGTAGCCCTAAACAGCTATGAGACATTCTGTGAGACTTGGATTGGGAGACATTCTGTAATCACAGGCAAAACTTAAATTTGTCAAAAGAAACATTTTGTTCTTCATTTCTTTCCCCTTCCATGTCTAAGTTAAATCTAATTATGGTGTTGTGTAACAAAGTAGGTTTAAAGGCTACAACAAACATTCAATGGCCTAATCTAGCACTTGCAACAGAACTAAAGTTCATTTAAGTGCTTTATTGGCTCTTAGACTATAAAAGGCCTCTGGAAATACACAGTAATTTTACCTTAGTGGGCAAACTGGAAGACGCAGAAGTACCATTGGAAAGACCCATTCCTGTGAAAACAAAGAGCAAGGCGACTATTTCCTTGTAAAGGAGAATCTAGGGGAAGAGGAGCGTGGGGTGGTGGGTACTTTGTACTGGTTTGTTACTTTGGAAGAATAAACTGGCCTCTGTTTCTGAAGCTGTCTCTGCAGACGGGTGACAACAGCATGCTTAAGACCTCAGGGCAGGCCTGGGCGACCAGCATTAAAGCAGGGTAGGAGCTTGACACTCCCTTTCAGTGGGCTGTCAGCTAAATGTTTGTTTTCCCAGTGAGCTGGTACAAAAGCCAAGAGTAAGAGGCTTATCTCAGAGTTTAAACTTTACCTGCAGGTGGTTCTCACCATCGAGCCCAAGCCTGTGCTGGATGTGGCATTCCTTCAGTAGAAATACCACTGGCTATAGTCTTAACTTGTGTGTTACAGTATTTACCCAGTACTGTGAATAGGACACAGCTACAAGGACACTCGTAGAATAGGACACTTACTAACTTTATATTTTACTAAAGGATAACAAAACTCTCTTCCTCCCTGCCCCCCAGTTTTAAACACATTCCTTGTCTGGGTGGAGTTACTCTATCAAATCCACTATGCCACCTTTCCCTCCCTCTTCTTATGCGGCCACAAGTAGAATGTTATCTGGTAGGTTTAAGTATCTGTCTCTCATATTGGTTTACAAGCCTCACAAATAATTTCTGACAAAGGCAGCCTTCTCAAGAGAGGCTTAAAATGCTTCTTTTCTTGCTTCTCTGGTTCAGTTGCATCCAGATAGTTGTGTTTTTATGGATCCATTTTAGAACAATAGAACACCATTAGGCTATAAAATAAAAACACATCCTGCAGTATATCCTATGCTTGATCTCTTTTCTTTCGCGTGCTCATAAACCAGAGTGCAGTGGCCAAGTGCTTAATGTCACGTGTGATAACTTGAATTTAATGCATGGTCCTTCCTGTGCCATTTCAAGCTTCATTTCAAAGTTGAGGAGAAACAAGAATCTTTCTTTACAGGCCTTACTTATTTCAATTCATCGTGGAGGGAGCTAGTGACGATTTGGAAGAAATACAAGTCATAAACCCAGCTTTCTCCTTCCTGTTTAAGATTAAACTGTTTCAGCTTTTGTTTTGGCTGGACTTTGAGCCAGCAAACAGAGGAGGAAGTACAGAAAAAAGGGAGATGAGGAGGACGTGAGGGTGGTTAGTAACTTGACACTGCAGAATACAGGAAGTACACGTATGTCAAGAGAACAACTCTGAAAGGAACTGGTGGTGAGTCAGGAATCAGTCACTCCAGCCTGTCTCTTCCCCATAGTGCAAGAGTGGTCACTCTAAGCTCGTGTGTTTTCCAGTTAAGCTTAAGAGTGGTCTCCGATAGTCACACTGTGTTGCTACAATTGCACACCTGTTCCATTTGTCGAGTTCTAGAATACTAGTTGTGCCTTACTCAGTGTCTTGAACTGAGATCTGCTGTGTCTCTCTGAAACACTAGCTGGGTACACGCAGCTGTAATATGCGATATTGTACCTTGAGATGCCTCTTTCTAATTGTGAAATACTGAAGACTGATTTTCTCACCTTCCTCTTCTGTCCACTAGATTAAGCAACAAAATGGCATTTGTGAAGAGCGGGTGGCTGCTCCGGCAAAGTAAGTTGTGGGCCTTTTACCTCCTTTTCTCCCCACTGTGAGCAACTTTTCTCCCCACGTCAGAGCAACTTAGTAATTCCCAGGTCTTTCTTAAAACAACCCTCTGGCTCTGTGGGGTTTTTTTCGATTTTTTTTTTTTAAACCATTAGGGCACTTCACAAAATGACCTGTCATGACAGCATTTCCATGTGACATTTGGATGCAGAGCTGGGAAACAGGATACACCATACCTGAGGTGTCTGACTGGCATTCAGCTTCAGATGCTGCTCTGTAATTAGTGCTGTATAAGTGGAGACTTGGAAACTTTACCTGACACCTTAATTTAATGTCTTCAATTAGTCATGCCCTCTGCTTGTTCTTGCAGCAAGTTAGGACTAAAACACCGGGCTATGCACTTAAAATAAACTCAGTTGTGACTCTGAATACTAGATGAAATATGGTACCCAGTTCTGGAGTGTTCTGAAGTGGGGATGTTGTAGTGTACAGGATTTTGCTTGGCACCTCAGAATGTCTGGGGAAACTGTGAAGGATTTCCTGGCTTATTTTTTATTAACTCTAGGGCACAAATATTTCCCAGTATGTGCCCTCAAAAGTGACTGTCTGATTTTTAAGGTACTATTCTACGCCGTTGGAAGAAGAACTGGTTTGATCTGTGGTCTGATGGCCGCTTAATATTCTACGATGATCAAAACCGCCATGACATAGAAGATAAAATCCACATGCGAATCCACTGCATCAACCTCAGAGTGGGGAATGAATGTCGAGGTAATAATGAAACCTTCCGGAACTGTGTATTCAGAGATTCTTTACACCTTCAGTGCCCGCCCCCATACCCATTTACTACACTACTGCAGCGAGTTGGGATTGTTCAGCCTGGAGAAGAGAAGGCTCTGGAAAAACCTTAGAGCAGCCTTCCAGTACCTGAAGGGGCTACAGGAAAGCTGGGGAGGGATTGCTTACAAGGGTGTGTAGCGACAGGACGAGGGGCAGTGGCTTTAAACTACAGCAGGGTAGATTTAGACTAGACATTAGGAAGAAGTTCTTTACCACGAGGGTGGTGAAACACTGGCACAGGTTGCCCAGAGAGGTGTTGGAGGCCCCACCCCTGGAGACATTCAGGGTCAGCCTGCATGGGGCTCTGAGCAACCTGATCTAGTTAAAGACGTCCCTTCTCCCTGCAGGCGGCTTAGACTAGATGACTTTTAAAGGTCCCTTCCAGCCCAGCACACTCTATGATAAGTAAACCTGTCCAAGAAGTGTGCAACTTCATTGTTGTTTTTAAAAAAAAAAAAAAAAGCAACCCACTGCCCTCACTGCTGCCCAAAACTCCAACACAACCAACTACTAAATTCCCTTATAGATATCCAAGGTGTGGTATCACAATGAGATAGATTAGGTTAGGGTTTGATATTTCGTTTTAAATCTCAGGGAGGACAGTGTGGGTGGCAGGCATGGATGTGAGAATGGGATGTTCACAGTAGACTTGTGTGTCTGATCACAGAATGTAGTTATAGCGCTGCCTGGAGTGAGAGGCAGGACTGGAGATGGGAAACCTCAGCAGATTTTTTTTTGAGTATTACTAAGTTCAGTTCTAGCATTTGTTGGTACTCGATGCTGCTGCAAGTGAAGAGCACAAGTGCTGGAGAGTATTTATTTCTAAGTATGGACTGGTTCTGCTCTAAGACACTTGGATTTCTTAGGAATGATGTTCAGAGCTACTGACTTGCAGGACACTCTAAAAAGAGCAAAAGCTGGTTGTTTCCTTCTGTAATTTGTTCTGATGCCGTGGAAAGCAGCTACAACTGACCCTAGCTTATTTTGTCCAGACTTTTGCATAAATTGTCTCCCTTCTTGTAAATGTGATCATGAAATTCTGATTACAGATATATCATCTCTTTTTTTCTGACTCAGATTTCCAGCCTCCAGAGGGGAAGCAGAGAGACTGTTTACTGCAGATTGTTTGCCGTGATGGGAAGACAGTCAACCTCTGTGCAGAGAGTGCAGATGACTGCCTGTAAGTCTCCCAGAGAATACTGGTTTTGCTGCCTCTTCTTCTTTTATCTTTCTTTTTCTCTCTTTCCTTAATTATTTTCTTTCCTTCAGACTTTCAGGGATGCATTTTAATAAAGTTTTCAAGCACGTAAAAGCAGGCTGTCGGTGACAAAACCCATACTTCTATAAAAAGTTACCTAGCTCATGCAAACTAACTGCAAGTTAAGTCACTGAAAACACTGAAGGGTGAGGAGGAGTAAAAGAATCTTACTGATATGGTTAACACAAGACTACCTGAACAGATTTATCTTTTTTTCTCTTTTCCATTCTTCAGTAGTACATGACTCTTCATAGCCCAAGGACATCCCAGTCAGTAGTGAAAGGAACACTCCTCCATTACTGTGAACTCTCAGCTGAGCTTGGCTGTGCTTAGTCAGATTACTTCTGTTGTCAGCGTTTGCCAGTGAGGCGTGGTGCTTCGAGCATGCTCCCAGCCATGTGGCATGGGAGGATCTGTGTGAAGTCTCTGCCCCTTCTGTTCAAACTGTAATAGCATCAAGACCCACACTCTCTAGTCAGCACAGATGCCACTGTTCAGGCAGGAGATACAACTTCCCTCGTGCATCTCTTCCTGTTACCTTATCCTGAGCGTGGCTGTGTATTACCTAGGTGTTGTGCTTGCAGCGAGGGTCATCCAAACTGCATCAGTTCCTGCTCATGTTCCTCCTCATGAATTCTCCGCTCTGCAGAGAAAGTATTTCTCAGTTTTGCTGTGACACCTTTGTGCATTTTACTGTATTGTTAGGCTTTGACATATGCAGTATCTTAAATCTGCTCCTGCAGTGCCTCTAGTTGCTAACCTTGATTTTTCATAGTTCTAAAAGAAAAAGCAGCCTAAAGTTTTATCAGTGTTCCACTAAACAATGGGTTGTTTTTGCAGGGCGTGGAAAATTGCTCTGCAGGATGCCAGAACAAACACAGTAAGTGTACTACCCAAACTTCATACTGATAGAGAGGCAGCATCAGTGTTACTTGTGGTCCAGCAGTTTACTTCTGAAATCATGCTCCATCCTTCTCTGCTAGGGAAAAACAGGGTCATGAGCATGATGGTAAGGCTTGTGGGTGGGGAGAAGAATGATCCTCTGGATCACAAATGCATATTGTCCTTGCAGCCAAGTCCAGGCAAATAACGTGTTGGGTGGAAGTGAATAATTTCAGCGAATGATTTGGCTGAGTGGAAGTGCGTGTTTGAGAAGTTGCTCTGTCGGGAAGTGGGCACTGAGGAAGCTGTTTGTTAATGTAAATTCATTACATTGTGGGATGCTTCCTGGTGGAGGCTCGGGGAGGAGCAAGAAGTGCTTGGAGGGGAGCGCAGGCATGCCAATAAGGAGTACATTACCTCTGCCTTGGCACGCTCGTTGTGGAGGGTGAAGAGGTCAGGAATCATAAAAACCTCTCTGCGAGTCTTGGAGTTCTCTAGAGAACTGTACCTTTTGGGGAACCATCCACTTGTGGGTATTGATAATTTGTTTTTCCTCCAGACTGCTTTCCAGAGTAGTCATCAGCACTAGCTCTCCGTAGGTGGCTAGACTGAACCAACCTGAGATGTTTCTGTTTCATGTGGAAATGCCGGGTTTTGTAGAAGCTTATCTCAGCTTTTGATGGGTCACATTATAACATTGCCGCTGTACTGAGGCATCTGTCATATGATATAACTTAGGTCTGTAGATATTCAAAGCAAACACTTGCTCTAGCAAAACCACCCGGGGTGTGATCACCTCTGACTGCAGCCAGGCTACGCTGCTTCCTGGTGTTAAACGACAAGTGAAGGAATTGTCCTTACCTAGAGGACACAACACTCATGGTTGGCCTGCTCTAGTTTTTGGAGCTTGATCTTGCTTATGTGTGAGATGGTGATTCCAGCTTTCAGGAGTTAGGTATTTCATGTCTCTGACACCCAGCTGCCAGTCCTGCTCATTCACAACTTGCCAGCGCATCACCTCGAGCAGCCAAGGCAGACCCCTGGTACTGAGAGCAGGGCAGGCAGCTCGCTGCACGAGCACTATCGTAAGCTAGTGCTTTCCAAAGCTGCTAAAGGTCTCCAGCAAGGACGCAACCAGGTAACTGAGTTTGAGTTCATCTGTAGATGTCTGACACAGCTTTAAAAATACTGAGCGTCCAGCAGCGCCTCATAACTTTACTGGAATAGCAGGGGGATCACCCTAACTTTGAGAACTATGTCATTTACAGAGGTTCGCAGGTTTGTGTCATACGCCTGTATGGAGTTTTCTGAAGCAGAACAGAACACGTTTATTGCTAAGGTGTGAACATTTGCTGGGCTTTTTCCTCAGGTGGTGGAAATACTCTTCATACAGTGCTTTCAACTGTGTGTTTCAAGCAGCCCTTAGAATCTCCACCTTGACCTGGGATGTGGCCATAATACAGCCTCAAAAGTCTTTCTGCAGTCAGGGATGAGAGAAAATAGGCACATTCTCTACTGAGCTATTAAAGTGTATGCTTGTAAATTGAAGAAGTGCATTTTTTTTCTTCTTTGGATAGGGCACTAAGAGCATCACTGTTAATTTCTGGTATTAGGGGCAAGAATGCCAGGCTACTGTAACAAATCTTAATTATCTTTGAGAGTTTATTGTAGATGGATTCAAGTAAGTGGTCACCTTTGCCTCATGGTTGCCTTCAAAAAGGACCAGAATTATAGTTGGCATTTGCAAAGTAATTCCCTAAAATCAAGGAAGCCCCCACCAAGTCCCCACAGTTAAACCTCTGTTACTGTATTTATTTATTTTTAGTCACTTCACGGTCAGAAAGTGAGAAGAGGGTAAGAACTGTGACAGTGGTGTACTAAAATGTTCAGGTGCCACTTTTGGCTACTGCATTTGTTTTCTTTATCTGCTCCTGCGGAACGTGGTGATAACCACTCTAGGGTGCCAGGAAGCAGCTCGCCTAGCTGTGCAAGACTTTTTTGTCTGCAAATGGAGGATGAACAACAGGGAAGTTGTTAAAGCTGAGACTGAGATAATGAAAGGAGTCAGTGTGCGTGCACATATGTGTATGCATGCACGCACAGGGGTGACAAATTGTATGGCTCCCTCCTGTGATCGGTCAGGCACTTTGTATTCTCCCAGATCTGCTCTCTAAGCAGTTTCTTTTTACAGTGCTTTACTCACTGCTTTCTTAACATGCAGCATACTTAAAGGTTACTCTTTCTTCGGGGTCATTCAGTTTTAATCCTTGCGCTACTCTAACTGGTTGGCTGTAGGAAGAGGTGGTAACTGCTGCCTTTCTGTGGTGTTTAGGGCTACGTGGGATCTGATGTGATGTACGATGAGACAGCCATCTCCTCATCTCCTCCTCCCTACACTGCTTACGCCACACCGTCACCTGAGGTAAGAGTTGCAGTCAGGAAGCATTAAAATAAGTGAGGTAGCAGAAGCAGCCATCCTTCAGGGATTCAAACTGTGTTCCCAAAGTGCTGTGTTTCAGAGTTAGATCTAGCTTTAAGGTTTGTGCAAAAGGAGAATGAGAGTAAGGTGCTAATGATCTATTGTCATTCCTATTTGAAATGGATTTCCTTTGAAAGGGATGAGGCAAATTTGGTTGGGAATTATTTAAAGGGATGGCTGCTCAGTGAACTTGGAAAATAAAGCTTCTTAGAGACAGGGCTAGAAGTTACTTGGCTAATCTTGAAAAATATTGGCCGCGCAGTTTTTAACATAAGGAGGTGTGACTACACTTTCTCATTGTATAAGCACTGAAAGGATATAAAATCAGTAGTTTTAAAAATAGGATTTAATGACTGGAGCTGTCACTGAACACATAAGGATTTTGTTGTATCCAAGATGTCATAGCAACACAGTAACTCTATCTCCTGGATGTGGTTCTTTTGCAGTGGAGAAGGAACAGCTTTGGGGCCAAACCGGTATACATGGGGGAGTGCTGGATGGTCTGTCTGACATGCAGTGATACAGAAAGGGGTAGTTTGGGGGAGTATTACTTGTTACACTACAGGTGCTCTGCTCCAGCCCCCTCACTGCTTGAAATAGTTGAGAACTAGATGTGGTACTGGGAGCTGTATCAGCTCTAACAGCGAGTCTCCTCTTTTGGAGAACAAAATCGCTTCCAAAACATGCAGCTACAGGCTATTTATCCTGAACCTGACATTTACTTCAGTGTGCTAGAGGAAGCTGGTTGAAGTTTCTTGGGATCAGCTGCCTACTTGACACTTCAGAGCTCTCCAGAGAGCTGCTGTTGGCATGAGGGCGGAGAGGAGAAGCTGGTAAGGCTGCTGCCTGATGATCCGGGCCCTGCCTCTGTCGTTCACCATCCACGAAGGGTGGAGAGTGAATGCTGCTTAGGAGCACTTAATTTTTTCAAGCAGCTGTTCTGAATCCCTTCCAGGGAGTAGGTAGACTGTATCAGTACAGACTGGATATTTTGGTGAAACTTGGGCTGCTTTAGAAATGAATGAGAATTAAACAAAGTGCATAATCGGATGCATAGCAATGACAACTTTTGTAACAGACATTTTTAATTTCACCAGGTTTATGGCTATGGCTACAATCAGTACAATGGTGCATATCCTCCTCCTGGTCCTCAGGTCTTCTATGCCTCCAATGGACAAGCTTATGCTGTTCCCTATCAGTATCCATACCAAGGTAATCAGTATCAACCACATCCTTCACTGTCCTATAGAAGCCATCTGAGTCACTCTGGCTTTAATTCTATTAATCACCATCCTTTACCACCCACCACTCCTGCACAACAGAGCGATAGAAAGAAACCTGACTTGTAACTGGCACCAATTTCCCTTGCCCTTTCACAACAAAGTGAGTGCAGTGAAATTTCTATTAAGTGATTTAACGTTCCCAGTGTGATCCCAACATACTTAAATTACTTCATAAACCCTTTCTGAAGCACAGGAAGAACTCTCTAACTACAGTAGGCAGAGGGGTTGGACTAGATGATCTTTCGAGGTCCCTTCCAACCCCTAGCATTCTGTGATTCTGTGATAAGCAATGTGGTTTCTAAGGGAAGGTAGAAGACCCAGAACAAGATTGATTCATACTCGGCATTGATGGAGCTTTTGATTCATCTGTTGCTCTAATAGCTAGCTTAATTATTTAAATACTGATGTTCACCTGGGATCCCAGAATTAAATGCAAGTTTTAAAGGTAAATCCAGTCCCAAAGCACAGTTGTAACTAGTTCCTTCCCTGGATACCAGAATTGCAGTAAGGCAGTACATTCAGCCTTGTGAAGTCTTCTGTTGCACTGTTGAGGTTTGTATAGCTTTCAATCCCAGTAAAAAAGAGAGTAAAATTTCAGTGTGTGCTTTTAAGCTTAGTCACGTTCATTTAGGATTAGCTTTGCACAGAGAGCCCCACTCTTACAGAATTGGGGCTTTAGAGTAGTATGGGTAATATAAATCAGAAGATGTACCTTACGAAATGTTTATGATCTGGCTCTGCAAACAAGATCTCTACTCAGATTTTTTTTTTTTCTAACTGACAGTTGTCAGGCTATTTCATTTGCCTTTTCCATATTTTGTTACAAGGGAGGTGCATCAGCCTGAGGGTGTTAAAGCCTTCCTCATTTAAGTGAAGTCCTAAGATACAGATCATATATGTGCAAATGCAGAGGAAGGTGGGTTCTGTTGATTCTCAGCAGCTGAAAAGCAGCAGCTTGTTGGAAGTCCCAAGAACAATTTTTAAAAACCACTGGTAGGCCTTGGGAATCAGGCCTCAGAAACCTGTATGGTAAAAATGCAGCATTAAATAGTAACTCTCCTAAACAGTTTCTAAGTCCAGTGTGTTAAGATACTAGTTATAGGCTGGACACAGTAACCCAGCCTCGACATTTTCCTTCACTAGGGTTACTGCAACTGAGTCTTAGGGCTCAAGTTCACCCCTAGCAACTAACTTAACCCCTGTACTTTTGGCTTCATTGCTCATTCTCTGAATTGACATAATCCTTCTCCTGACATTCCCATTCATATATCATTGAGTCTCAGTGAGAGCCTTTTCCAGTTGTAGTAGGTAGGTTACTCCAGCATGTTACAAAAAACACTGCAGCGTCTTCAAGAATATTTAATCTTCCTGAAATATCTAGAAGAGAAAGCAGTACTATTATGTTTGCTTTGCAGGTAGGAGATAAGTCACTAAACATGACAGGTGGAGCTTGTAGAAGCCTGTTGCAGTGCAAGGTGCTTTCTTGAGTCTTAGATTAATTCCTTCCTGCTGGGCCAGTCTTCACCTGAAAAGAAATGTAGCAGCTGCTGCCACACAACACATCAAGTCTGCTTGTAGAGTCGAGAACTGATACACACTTTCTGACAAACCAGTGTCTTAAGAGCTGCCAAAGATATTGGGGGGATGCGGAGGTGGGAAATCTACACTAGTTGCCTTAACTGCAAGGTTGAATCAATTCCTAGACCCATTTCTTGCATTAAATCCACTGTTTGATGGAATGCCAAATAATTCATAGGTTCTCTGCTAGCACAAATGCAGATCAACATTAAGTTTTACCTCTCTGATGAGCTTTTTCTCCCAGATATTAGACTTTTACAAGGCTAGAAGTGTTGCTAGGCCTCTGGATTTATTTAAGATATGTGGAGGCTGAATCCACAGCAGAGATGTATTCTATCTTTGTAGCTGACATCATCTTAGTGTTCCATGGAAGGAAGAGGGTGAAAGAGGGGTGAAGAGGGTGAAAGAATACCATGCAACACATGGTATTAAAATAAAGATTTCTTCTGCCCTCCTCCTAACAATTTCTTCTTACCTAGGTCCTTACGGCCAGCCCCCTGCAAACCATGTCATCATCCGAGAGCGTTACCGTGACAGTGATGGAGATCTTGCACTGGGCATGCTTGCTGGAGCAGCTACTGGAATGGCTCTGGGATCACTATTCTGGGTCTTCTAGATTACCTGTTCTTTACCTTTGTAGTTCCAAGAACCTTTATTGTGTGCAATAATATATTGGCAATGTTGTTTACTGTTAAACTTTTAAGAAATGCAATAGTTATTTTTCAGTAGGTACACCTTAATAATTGATTCTTAACTGTCTTAAGGAGAGTTTAAAGGCACCGTTTAGTGAAGTGGTTGGAGTCGGCATGTGCTGCTCTTGAATTCTGTTCTCATGTTTGGAGTTACAAGGATTTGTACTGATAAGGACCAATATGAGCACCAATGTGACACGGCAGCAGTTACTAGCTTTATAAACAGATTGTTATTGTAAACACTGTAGGGGAAAATGGGTACTTTGAAGGGGGTCTAGAATCTAATCCAAATAGGAGGTTTACAGGAGCCCTGCATTGGTATATCTGTACTTCGAAACATTCCCTGGACAAACATACAGCTCAGCAGAAACTCCTTGGCATTAGGTAGTCTGCTATGCTTCAGGATTTTTTTGTTTTCAAGCTTGCCTGCAGGTGGTAGTGCATTTTCTTAGATTGAGTCCTGTACCTGCCTCACACCATCCAAGAGAAGTTGTCTTTGAGAACATGTAAGTGAACCGCTAGTAAGCGGCAGCACTCCTCAGTTCTTTTATACTCCCAGAAATGTGAATGACCAGTGGCAAGGTGTTGTTCCACCTCCCTCTTTATTCTGAATCACCCTTCTCTGGTCAGATGGAAGCGACGGATCTTCAGCTTTGCAAGTGGTCTTCCTTGTCTGTCGAGCAGTTGCCTCAGACACTGCACCAGCTGCATTGCTGAGGAAGCGGCCCCTGTCTAGTGTCTCTGCTCACTGCTGCCATCGCGCTGCAGGCAGGGAGAGACAAACAGCACAAGGAGACCTTGCACACAGGCACTTTGGCATCAGCAGCCTTGCCGTGGCTAGGATAGAATGTCTGCCTCTTGGCCTCCAACGTTTCCTGAACCAGGTTCATTATTTGCAACTAGCTGAAAGCACAGCTGAGCCTGGGTTTGTTCTATGCACACTTCCCCCTCTCCCTCCATGACTTGCAAGGAAAACACTCCAAGGAACCTGGCTGGCTTTGCTTGTATGTCTGGTTCCTTACACAAGGTGCTCCTGCAGACTGTTGTGCTATGGGCTGGAACCCGGAGCACAACTGTTAGGTGTGCTGTGTGGTCTGTTCCCTTATCCTGTTATAGTCCGTGCTGAGCTGTGCTTGGCAGGGGGAGGAAAGCTCTGAAGAAATGCACGTGCTTTCTTATTCCGGTAAAAGAGGTGGGGTGCCTAAGATGAGCTCTGTATAGTAAGAGGACTTATTTTTATACTTCCACTTTCAGCTTCCTGTATTCATTACTGTTCTAATATGTTAAGTCTTTCATTTACAACCAGTTTAGTTTCCTTAAGGTTCCTGCAATTTCAGGTATGTCAGGAAAGATGAAAATAGAAGAAAACTTAAAGCCATATAAATTTAGATCAGGCCCTAAGCTTTTTCATTTAATCTTAAAGTTGTCTTGGCTCTCTCCTACATATTTAAGCAATAGAGGTCTTGGGTAGGAGTTTGGATAACAGCCAGGGGAAGCAACTAAGCTTTCATGACTCTTAGGACTAACCTAACAAACTGAAATCATCGGAAGTAAACAGACAGATGTAATTTTGGCCACGTGACTAAGAGCAGGCCTAATCCAGAGAATGTAGACTTCTTTCAAGAAACGTCGGCTTGGAGCAGTACGCCAATGTGCAGGCGTGTCCTTTCACAGATTGATATAAGCTGCGTATGTTCAGCCAGTGGTAGGTACTGAAAGCACTTGATGGAGGTTCAAAAGAAGACTAAAGAAAAGGTTTCCTACTGCTAATCCAAGCTAAAAGAAGTGGGAGCACACTGCTGAAGTTCTCTTAGAGGCCTGATACCCTTGAGGACAGAAAGAGAGGGTGACTGCCTGGAACTTAAGTGAACAAACATTTCTACCCGTTTTAAGCCTTGAGATAACCTTGAAGCTGATTACAGGTCTACACTGCTGTGTAGTTTGCGCTTTGCAATATAACTAGTTCTGCACAACGCTTCCATCTCTGTGTGATGCTTAGCTTGTAAGGGTGGGGGAAGAATAAAACAATTGAACATCATTGTCATTTCTTTTGAATTTCATAATGATTGTGAAAGAATAGCACAAAGTGAATCAGCTAGTAATTTATTTTAAGTTCAGAGCTCTTTTGTGTGGGTTGTTGGTTCCACCCCCCCAAGAGCTTTTGATCGCAGCATGGGAACGCCTCTTGCACTTGCAGGAGATAACTGTATCTGGGTTCCCAGTTTCTTCAAGTGACTGTTGATTGCAAAACATTCCTGCATTGAATCCAAAGCAAGAAATGATCCTTTTAAAAGTTCAAATTTAAGTAAGTCTCCATTAAAAAATAACTTTTCCCCTTCTCAAGAGGAAAAAAAATATTACAAATTGAAGCTGAAGATTCTAGTTTCATCTCAGTAACAAGAGGCTGCTTTTGTACAAAAATTATGAGCTACTTTGCTGTCCTGGTAGCATAGTCATTTAGAGGGTAGAAGGCAAACGTAACACTGCTAGAGCATGAAATCAAGAGAGCAGTTGCCTTATTGCAGGTGCTTGTAGCCGTTCTGATCTCACTGCAGAAATAGAAGTGGAAATGTCGTGGTGCACAAAGCAGCAGCATGGGGATAGCCACTCAAATTCCCTGGTGGTGAAAGCTCATAGACCTGCTTCCCAAAGATGTAGCTATACCTCCTGTTGCTCAGGAACAGAGCATGGGGTTGGTCCTATCTGTAATAACATCCATCTGGATGCAGAGACATGACCCAATAGCCTTTCCCAGTCCTGTTCTTCCCATACCTGCAGTTTGTGTAGATGCTGGTGTGAGCTGAAGGAGCAGGGCCAGAGTGGATTTTGGAACTTGGGGGGAGGGCCATGCCAGCTTCTGCAGAGCGGTGATACCACAGTGATGGGAAGAGGCCGTGGGTGTGACAAGATAATTTTCAGATTGAAATGGTATTCCTAAATGGGTATTTGTTTCTGAACGTTGCTATTCAAGATGCCGTGACTCCAGTTACACTTGCATAGCACTCAAGCATGTGCTTTCCTACCCAGGACTCAATACTTGACCTCTCAAAAGCTATGGGAGCTCCACAGCCACTACAGTGCCGCTGTTTTCTGCAGTGTATGCTGTCAAAGATGACTACATCTGTTTGTAGAGCAGTTAGAGTCTGCTCAGAATTCACAGAGTCACGAGTCCATACCCTTGTCTGTGACTCGTTACTTTTGGATTCTCAGGGACAACTGGACAGAGCCAGGCTTCCAGAGATGGAGGTGAAAATCCAACCACATTAAAGTAATGAACCAGGGAGCCTTCGCAAATTCTTAGTTCCATGTGAAAATGTAGCTATTGGCTTCTTCTGCTTGAACGTGGGGGGCTAGGGAGCCAGCCTCTTGTAGCAAGTGGGTAAAAGCTCATGAACTGGAGAGGAAGTGTTTGTGTACAGACCATCTGCACAGCCTTTTAGCAAAGTCACATCTTTGAGAGCTGAAGCACATTGTGAGCTGCATCTAGATGGAGCTACCCTAAATGTCACACAACACTGGCTTCGTTTTGTTTTTCAGTGGAGAGTCAATAGGTGATGGAACCGGTTAACCAAGTTGAATAAAGGAGAAAATTCCCACCCGTGTTCCTCAAATGTATGTGGCTTTTCCTCTTCATGATATGACTAAGATAAATACGTGTAAGTCATGGAGGGTAGCATGCAGCACTTCCCCCTTTCAGAGCCATCATGTTCTTGTGCACATTCTCTTCTAGCTGCTGCTTCTACTCTATGTCCTCATTCTCATTATTAATTTATAGCAAAATACCCTTAGCAATAAAATTAATATTTAAGTGTAATTGTTTTGTCTTGGCATGTTTACTAGCCTTTGTTCAACATTTCACATTTTATTAGTCTAGATAGGTGTATGTTTTTCAAAAATGTCGTGAGGAGGATTCCTCTGCGAGAAAACTGTGCCATCATGAATTCTGTGCACCTTTGGTGTTTCCTAAACAATTACAAGCATGACTTTACTTGGTAGAAAAATGAACTAAGACAGCTGTCGGAATTAGAGCTCAGGCTGACGTGCCTCAGTCATCTCAGTTACCATTTAATAAAGATGATGTAAGGTCTGTGAAGTCAGCAAACTCCCCACTAACACCACTACACCAAGATTAGAATTAAGGCCTATTGCTTTTTTAATGGAGTTGAAGGCTTTGACTCAGAAATGCTTAATCTCGGATATATGCAACGTTGATCCAGATTTACCATTTGACGTTGTGTTACCAAATCAACAGATTTGTACTCTTTAGTATTTCAGTAAGCAGCTTGGAGAACAGATGTTGCTCTGGGCAAAATGCTACTGGTTGCTGTATTGGTATTTCTGTTTATGAATTGCTTCAGTGGGGTTGAGTACAATCAGTAAGTTTGCTTAAACAAAGACACTAAATGATCACAACTAGCTCCGCCACCTAAAGGCGGACTCTCTTATACGTTTGCTGGGAATTAAACTATTTGCCAGAAGGACTACAGTACATTTAAAAACCATTACACTTGGTGTATGCACATATTGGTCTTACTGTTGAGGGGTGGTGGTTTTCTTATCCCCTAATCTTGTGGAAGGAATGAAAACAAAACTGCTATTTCAACCAATCAGTTAATGTAGGGGAATGCATCTCTCTTCACCCCAGCATGCTATATTGGCTATGCTTATTTCATCAGCCATCAGTTCCCTGGGATGGATTTCCTAGGCTGAGCAGACCTATGTAGACTTAACCCTGCTCACCAGAGAGCCCACTTGTACTGAAATTTCTGCACCAGAACAAGTTAGGGAACCGAATTTGGTCTGCAAGGCTTAGCAGCTCTATACCTTCTTCAGATGCAACACTCCTGAGCAGGCAATAGCTTAGAGAATGGGCTTTGCCTCTGTTAGTACTGTCCCTTCTCCTACTGCATTCTCTGTTCTGTTTGTGGTCACGAAATGCAACCACAGTAACTGAGCTGTACTCCTAAGAGTAGCTTAATTGGTCCCTCTCTCCTGTTGCAGCTCCACT